GGTTTATTTTTGGCCACACCTGGCTGTGCTCAAGGATCACTATTGATGGGGCTTAGAGGACTGTATGGGATGCTGAGGACTGCACCTGAGTCAGCTGCGTTCCAGGTACATGCCTTAACTACTTTTCTATCTATCTGATCCCCCAAATTAAATTTTATTTCCCAGACAATAACAGTTTTCCAATACACAAATGATGTCAGTGTACAGAGTAGACAGAACATATCAAATACAGTGAAAGGGTAGGGTTAATTATTCTAACATGGCAATTAGCTCTGCTGGTGTGAATATGGGATGAGGCTCTTACCAAAGAAATTCTGGGATAGGAACCTTAGTTGGCCACAATCTGGAGATCACCTGTGATCAATATTGATAAAGCGCATTTACCCTTTACACTCACCCTCATAGCTCAGATGATTCAATATTAGACTCTTAAACACCCAAGTTATATTTTCATTTATTCTGTTTAAATGTCTTGTGAACCGGAGAAGAACATTTCTAGAAATCTCATCTATATGAAAGCTAGGTGACAAGAACGACTGTGAAACCTAATTTCGTGGAAATTTGTAGAAACTGAACAGGTTGCCAATAGCCTAATGACATAGGTGTGATTCAGCCTTGAAGTTTTAGTTTTTTTCTTTGCTTTTCAATTTCAGGAACGGTGAAAGACTAGAGATCAAATTCCATTGCCAGTGGAACCTATTATTTAATCAGTCATACAAGGTAATGAAGCCTCAGAATAGTCCAAGAGGTGGGGCTTGGAAGAACTGCTGGCTTTGTGGCTGCCAGGAGATTTGGATAGGCTTAGATAGTTTTGTGACTGCCTAGAGAGACATGGACACTCCATGCCTTTCCCCTTTCTGCTATTAAGCTCTTACATATTAGGCTGTTTCTGATTTATGTCCATTGTAATAATAAATCAATGAATTAGTAACTAAATGGGTTTTCTGAGTTCTGAGAACTGCTCTAGAAAATTCAGTGAACATGTGGAGGGTTTCTGGGAACCTCCTGTAGCCAGTTGGTAAGAACTACAGGTAATAGCCTGGATTTGTGACTGGTGTCTGAAGTCAAGGGTAACCGTGGGAGGTCGAGTTGTTAATCTGTAGAATTTAATGCTCCCTCTGGGAAGGAAGTGTCAGAATTGAGTTGAATTCTCCTACACCATGCTGATATGGTCCATGATAGTATGATACAGAAACTATCTGACATTATTCACAGAAATTAAATCAAATTGGATTAGAGATATAAAAGTAAAACCTGTAACTATAAAACTTCTAGAAGAAAACAGAAAATATCCCTTGGAAATATTGTTTTTAGATAGGACACCTAAACCACAAGCAACTACAAAAATAAGTGAGACTAGGGCCAAAGTGATAGTACAGAGAATAGGGCATTTGCCTCGCATGCGGCCAACTCAGGTTTGATTCCCAGCATCCCATATGGATCCCTAAGCACCACCAGGAGTAATTTCTGAGTGCAGAGCCAGGAGCATCACTGGGTGTGACCCAAAAAGAAACAAAAAAGTCAGAGTACATCAAACCAGAAGTTTCTACAGAGAAAACAAAAATCAATGGATGAAAAGAGAACGTACAGAATGTGAAAAAAAATTAAGTTGTATATTTTACAAGGGATAATTATCCAAAATAACCAAAAAAGCCCATACAACTTAAAAGAAAAATACCTCGTGATCTAATAAATGGATGAAAGACCCAAACAGACCTATTTCTAAATTAGATTCACAAATGGTAACAGATACATAGAAAGAACTTAGCATCACTAGTCATAATGGAAATGCAAATCAAAAGCACATTGAACATCTCCTCAGCCCTGTTGGAATGACTTTCTCTCTCTCTCTCTCTCTCTCTCTCTCACACACACACACACACACACACACACACACACACACACACGGGAGACAGTTCAAGTGGCATGGTACTTACCTAGCATGGATGAGATCTCCTAACCCTAGATCTCCTGGGATCTCCTAAGCCTATCATCACACAGTCTCTACCAGCACTGCGCACATCCTAGCCTGGGAATCCCTGGGAGTCACCCAAGACTCCCACATACCAGAGACAGGGTGGTCCCTATATACACGGAAAGGCAAGAAGTAAAGCTGAATGAGTAATTAATGCTGGCAAAAATGAAGATAAGAAAGGAACCCTTGGTACTTTTGGTGAGACTATAAATGGTATGGACTCTACAGAAAACAATTGAGGGTAGAACTACAATTTGGTCCAGCAATTCTGCTTCTGGATCTGTATGTGAAGGAAACAAAATCACCATATCCAAAAGGCAAGTGTGTTCCCATGTTCATGGCAGCGTTATTGCAATAGGATGGAATGGATATATAGTGGTAGTGATACAAGGAGTATTACTCAGCCTCAAAAGGAGTGGCTGGAGCATTAGTACAGCAGGTAAAGCATTTACCTTACATGTAGCTCACTTAGGTTTTTCTCTCTGGCACACCATATGGTTCCCTAACACTAATGCGTGTGGCCCCCAAACCAAACAAACACCAAAGAAAAAAGTCTTGTTCTTTGTGAAAACATGAATGGACCATGCTAAGTGAAATAAACATAATTTTATGATCTCACTTTCAGTAGAATCTTAAAAAAACTGCATAGAAAAAAATACTCCATAAAAGTAATTTGAAGAGATGGGCAATTATATGTCTCAAGCTAAAGCAGGCAGTTGCTTTCTATAAGGGATACGGTATAGGAACCTGCCCAAACAGCCATAATCCAGAAAATAAGGGGTTATTAGTCACTTGAATTTTACTCCTCCATACATTCCTATTTTGGATAAAGATCAGCATTCCTGAGTCCAGGATACTGATCTTTTTTGTTGACTCCTTTCATACATTGATGCCCTCTAACTTTAAAAGCCTGCACCCTTCAGATTTTATAGTCACTGAAATGTGTGAATCTTCTTTGAAATATTCTCATGCTTGAGAGAAAATATTCTCTCAAACATGAGAGAATTCCTTTGAGTCAAATTCAGGTCAAGCTTTCAGACTTTCTTTTTTCATTTACATTAATTAGTACAGGGATCATAAGAAAAACATATTCTAATTACTGCAAAAGGAAGAAGTCCCCTCAGAAACAACTACAACAAAATCCTTTCATTAACTTTTACTTATGCAATGGCTCTATGTTTTACAAAAGGAGTTGGTAGTTTTAAGAAATGAAAAAAATCACCTCACATTTCAAAAGGAATTACAGAGCAAATGCTACCATCCAGCTCAACAAATAATAAAGCAAGATTAGTTCATTTCTTACTTGTATACTTCAAAGGGAAATCAGAACTTTTCCTATAGTCCTAAAACATCCCAAATTTCCTATGAAGCCTTATAAATAGTAAAATATGAAGATGATCTCTCTGACTCAAACTACATGTTGGACTATAGTTTTAACAGTTATTTGACACATGCCAAGATCTCATTTTATTTTGTGATATGTGGATTAATGGGTTGGAGCAATAGCACAGCAGGTAGGGCATTTGCCTTGCATATGGCTGACCTGGGTTTGATTCCTCTGCTCCTCTCGAAGAGCCCTGCAAGCTACCGAGAGTATCCCACCCGCATGGCAGTGCCTGGCAAGCTCTCCATGGCATATTCAATATGCCAAAAATAGTAACAACAAGTCTCACAATGGAGACGTTACTGATGCCCACTCGAGCAACTAGATGAACAACGAGAAGACAGTGCTACAATGCAGTGGACTAATTACCTTTCTGATATTTAGTGGTAAAACCAATGAAAACTCGGATACAACACCTGTGATTTAGTCAGCACCTACAATCAAAACACTGGCCTTTAACTTGCTATCAACTTTCTCTCTTCAATGGCCAAAAGTGTAGACTAAGCCACTGGAGGCAGGAGATTTTCAAAAACAAAACAAAACAAAACAAAACAAAAAACAGAGCAAAGTTCAATGGGCCTGGAACTGATTAATGTGATAATTTAAAAAGACTGGGTTTGGAAGGCATTAGGGTAGGGTCAAGTGCAGGATGGTCTTCAATGCACATGTTGAATTTTGAGCTTAAGAATACAATGATCCCAGTACCTCATGGTGTTTCACTAATAAAAATTTTTAAAAAAGAATACATGAAAGAAATCGAAAAATAACAGAAATAAATCCCTATCAATGATTCAGTGTAAAAAAATAAAAATATTTATTATTAAAGTGAAAAAAAGAATACAACTAATGATCTCTACAAAGTTCAGGACATTGGCAGGTAAGGAAGGAATAAGGGGATCCAGTAATTGAGCCAAAGCTTTAACCACAGAAACTAAAGGATAATTTCTGTGTGACTTCCCTTAAAATTTGTTCACTCACCCTTTCACAAGCTGAACGAAGCCAGAGGCTCACTCTTTGAAATCACACTTTAAACCTTTATGAGAGAAATTTCAAGTAAGTTCTGAGTTTTAAAAACCCGCTGCTCTGTAGAAGAAGGGAGACAGCAGAGTCCAGATTTCTTTCCTACTGAATGTCAATATAGTTTTACAGTGCTAATAGATGGAGTCCCTACCCCCAAGTTTCTTTGTGGAAGTGAAGAACATACTGTCAAAAACTCCCAGTGTAAATCCAGGAACCATGGATAACAAAAACAAGTTCTAGGGCTAGGAGCACATCTGAACTGCCTGGAAGTGAACTGCTTGCTCAGTGCTCAGACACAGCTGGATGAAGAGATGGAGAGGACTTGGTGGAAACATGATTGAAGTTACTACCAGGATGAGAAAATGACCAGAACTGATGAAAAGCCTCTTCGTGCCTGGGGACACCCTGACCCAGCCTAAGACAGAACCGGGTCCCTGATCTCCATTCTTTAGAACTCAGTACCCTCGCACAGGTACTCAAAGGAGTGTCTTGCTTCTCTGTTTTTTGGCTCAGGCAGGCAGGCAGGCAGGCAGGCAGGCAGGCAGGCAGGCAGGCAGGCAGGCAGGCAGACAGACAGACAGACAGACAGACAGACAGACAGACAGACTGCCCCCATCATACCTGCAGCAGGATCTTGTTCCCATCATGGTCCTCGGTTTGCCAGCGCCCCTCACTGATCGGACTGCAAGGGTTGGGTAGGAGAGGCACAAGCTCCCCGATGTCCTTGACCCGGAACTCCAGCACCGAGGAGTCCATGGGGACCGGGTTCTGATCCCGGGGTAGCCTTTTCAGGGAGAACTGGATATCCACATCCAGGTTGGAGAAAACGGAAAAGATGCAGAAGTCGGCCTTCCTCTGGCTGGGGCTGCGCCGAAGGATGAGCTGGTAGAACTGCAGGATGTCGGGATAGTTGTCGTGGCGACAGTAGATGGTGAAGCGCACGATTTCCTTGCCGTAGTGCACAGGCCGGATGGCCCACAGCGGGGTCCCGGGGGCCAGCATGAAGAAGTCCTGGCTGCAGGGCAGGTAGGGCAGGAACTTGCCGGGCACGCGCTCTGTGTGGTGGTGGCGCCAGGGTGGCCGCTGCAGGGTGCGATGCAGCTGCAGGATCTGCTCCTCGCCGTACTCCTCCTGCAGGAAGAGGACCACCGCCAGCGCGGGCTGTGCCGCCTTGGGGGGCTTCCGCCGACGCCGGGACGCCCTTCTCTCGGACACCCGGAACAGTTGCAGGTCAGGGTGGATCCAAGCCAGGACCTTGTCGATGGCCTGCTGCAGCGGCTGTGATGCCCCGGGGTCCGCGATGATGTGGATGCTGACCAGAAAGGGGTCCTGCGCCTCCTCCACGGACACTTCGCCTGCAAGCACGGAAGGAAAGGAACACCAAACACTCGTGACTGTGTCCTGCAAGTGTCCCCTGAAGGGCCTTGGCGAGAAAAGAAGCGAAGCTTCTCACATTTGTTCCTTTCCTGTTTTGTATTTTTGGTTGGGGCTGTATGCAGCCCTGTGCTCCCAGGAAGTCACCCGGGGCAATGCCTGGGGACCGCCTGTGGTACAGGGATTGGAACAAGGGTCAGTGGGATTCTGGGAAAGTGACTTAACTCCCTGTACTGACACTCCAACCAGAGGAGCTGAACTCTCACTCAACAGATTACACAATTGCTACCGTTTTCCTATTCTGAGTTGTGTGTGAGAATTATATTGCCCAACTGCAAGGGTCTCAAACTAAACCCCCCTAGGGGGGATGTGTTAGGAAGTGCCAGTGCAGTACTTTTGAGAGAGTGGAAGCTGAGTCTCCACAACTGAGCAGGGATCACAGACCCATTAGAGATGATGCCATGGCATTAAGTGTGTATCACTGAATTTCTCCTTATTCCACATGTGCTGGAGTTCCACACCACTGCAGTCCACGTTTGCTCCTTTTCATTTGCATGTTTTGTTTCTTCCTTTTAGGAAACACATGTAGGCGCCTTTACACATATCTGGTGCTTGGTACTGCACAAGGCACATACCCTAATGGACAGACCAAGCCCTATCTATTGGGATGTTTTGCCAACAGTGTTCTCCAGTCAGTGGTCTGGCTATGGTCATGCCACTGCTAGACACAGAAAAGAGCTACATGAGGGTGAGGTGTGTGGGGCGGGGAGAAGAACAGAGTTCTTTGTTGTTGTTGTTTGGTGAGGGGGGGGGGGGAATCACTGGTACTCAGGGCTTGCTCCTGATTTTGCACTCAGGGATAACTTCTGGTGAACTTGGGAGAGATCCCGCACGGGGTCCTGGGGATCGAACTTGGATAGGCTGCATATAAGGTCTTACCCACTGTACTGTACTATCTCTCTGGCATAGAGTGTAGAACATAGACTCAACTGGGGATGTGACTAGGAGTAGGACATGGAAAGAAAGAAGGGTCATTATTTTCCACATAATGCTGCTTCCTAGGGATCTGCTGAGCCCACATTCTCCCAGAATCCCAGACTCCTGGAATAGGGATATTACCCCACATACCTGTCAACCCCTGCCCTGCAATATCTTCTGCAAAATTTATGGAGTATTAAATTCCAAATGTTAACTTGGCAACTGGGGGAAACAGTTGTCTGGAATATTTTAACTCAAATATTCGAACTTTAAAATAAATCAGATAATCTGTTTAAAATACTCCCACGATAGTGGAGTAATATGGTGGGGGGGGGATTTAAACTCCCCAGCCCCTCTCTGTCTGAGCACAGCCCCTAAGTTTGTATGGATTAAATGGGAGCGTGAGTCAATTCCAATTTAGTACCATTTAGTACCGTTTGACCAAAGTACGGGCAAATTTTTCTTAGGAGGCTCCTGAGTAGCTTTCTAGAGGAGCACAGTGTATTCCAGGGGGCTTGGAGGTGACATCTCAGGAACTTCAGTGTAGCAGATATTACCACAGGAGAGGTGAAGAACTGAGCAAAAAACAAGCACATGTGGTTGGGGGGTGGTGAATAATTCTGAACCATAGCAACAGATGCAGCAGGAAAAATGAACCAGAGCCAAGGTGTACAGAACTTTTACTCTGTTTGGTAGTAGTGATAAGGGACAATGGAAAGTTTTAACAAAGGGCTGCTGGGATCAAGTCAGGTGTACTAAAGGCAAACTAATAAGTTAGAAGATGAGTGAAGAGTCAGATCAGGCAGTGAGAGAGATTGCATTCTTGATCCTTGTTCTTTATCCTACTCATCTCCATGTTCTCTGACATGTGACTTTGCAGTTCCAGTGAATGGTGAGCTGCACTTCTCCCTCTTTGACATTGAATTAGATCATATGCCTGGATTTGTCAGTCAACAGTGACATGTTTTAGCTTGCCTTCTCATGCTTCTGACATTCCCACTGGAAGAATATGTTTGGAACAATCACTGATGTCAGAGAAGAGGACAAGAGATATATGGAACAGACTGACCTAGCTGAACACAGCCAACATCAGACAACCACTGATATACAATAAAAGCCACCTAGCTGACCTGGTCTAGATCAGCTCACCCAAGACACACCAGAAATGGTAAACTGTTGTTTTAAGCCATTCAGGGGAGTGGTTGTTACACAGCATTACTTATAGATGCAGGGAAAGTAAATAGGTCTACAGAAGAGACTGGGAGGCACATGGACAGGCCGTGGAGCCCATAGGCTGGGAACTGGGAATAGGAAAATCAGGATGGGAGTGTAACTGGATGTTTTCAGTTTGGAAAACTGTCTGATGTTGATCTTTAACTGAGGCAGGAAGTAGGGGAAGAAGAGGAGGTTTGTGGAGAAAGATAAGTTCTACTTTGACTGTGTTAGCCTGAGAGGGTCAAAAGATTACCAGGAAGGAAGTTGGATACTGTGCTAGCCTACTGCTGAGTTGAATTCTAGGTTGAGCACTTTTCTTTAGACTAGTGTTTCTCAAACTTTGCCTGATCATGGAACCCTTCCAAACTTGTTTCCTTCCAATGAATGCCTTTCCAGTTGTGTGCTATGGCCCCCCAATTATGCAATTTCCATCCATGACCCCCTAGGGTATGCTGGGAGCTAGCAAGGGCCTGTGTGGCCCACCACTGCAAAATACTGTGTTAGGTTAGATTCTTATTTTTATGTAGTTATTGGATACATGTATGTATCCATATTATTGGAATGATGAAAATTTATCATGATGGTTTAAAAAACCATCAAGAATTCATAGATTATTCTGGTCCTTTAGTTTCTTGCTTTTTCTCTTTACTGGGAGACTTTTCTATTTCATTAACCATTAGTGCCACTATCAACAGAAGTGAGCTGTGACACCAGTCGTGAAAATGCAAACCAATGAAAATTTCCACCAGTTGGTAACTTTAGTAAAGGAAGGGCTGGAACGATAGCATAGCAGGTAAGGCGTTTGCCTTGCATGAGGCTGACCCGGGTTCGATTCCTCTGCCCCTCTTGGAGAGCCTAGCAAGCTACTGAGAGTATCCCACCTGCATGGCAGAGCCTGGAAAGCTCCCCGCAGCGTATTAGATATGCCAAAAACAGTAACAAGTCTCACAACAGAGATGTTGCTGGTGCCCACTCGAGCAAATTGATGAACAAAGGGAGGACAGTGCTACAATGCTACAGTAAAGGAAAGAGAAGGTACCACAATCACTTATAAGGCACATAGCAATTTCCATGGTGTCTTGATCACCTACAGTGAAACGTGTAACGTCGCTAATCATTGATGAACGCTCTGTGGCTGGAGAGATAGGACAGCAGGTATGGCACTTGATCTACACATGGCTGATCCCAGTTCAATCCCTGGCATCACATATAGTCTCCCAAGCACCACCAGCAGTGATGTCTGAGCACCAGAAATGTGGCCCTGTGCCTCCCCCTCAAACAAGAATGCTTGCTAAAAATGGTCAGAAGATGTTGAATAATTGGGAAGTAAGAAATTCACTTGGGAAAGTTACAGATGATTCCATAAAGAGCACATGTAAGAAAATAAATCTCAGTGCAGTCAAGCAGTATCATTAAGATCTTGAGGCAAAGTAATTGGAACTAGAGATTTTGTCTAAAACTGGGTTTCTGTAAAAGAAGTCATTGGTGGAAGGAGGTGGGCATTCTGATGATGGGGATGATGTTGGAATGATGTATGCATGAAATGTATAATTAACATTATAAATCCCAGTACTTAAATTAAAATGATAAAGAAAAAATTCTAAGGGGGGGCAGAGAGATAGTACAGTGGGTAGGGTGCTTGCCTTGCATGTAACTGATCTTGGTTGGATCCCTGGCATCCCATATGGTCCACCAAATCCCTCCAGGAGTGATCCCTGAGTGCAGAGCTAGGAGTAAGCCCTGAGAACTGCTGGGTGTGGTCAACCGACCCAAAAACAAACCTCTTCCCCACCTCAAGAAACGAAGACAGATATAGAGCTTCCCATCAGGCACTTCTAGAGCAAGAAAACAGTCACTGTGCCTCAGTGCAAAGGGGCCCTAGAATGCACATGCTTCCACCTGGGAGTCAAAAGCACAGGGATTTGTAACATGGCAATAATATAAGCTCAGGGTGTTTATGGCAAGACGGGCCTGAGAGTGACTTCCGGTTTCTCCACTGAATGAACCTGGAGAAGTTCCCAAACTTTCCTGTTTCCAGTTTTCATCTCTTTTTAAACATCAACAGCAACAGAGTAGAGTTCTAGAACTCATCCTCCTTCAGGATGAAGCACTGCAGCTCAGTTTTGACAGAGGCCGAGCACAGGCCTCTTAACTCTGTGGCATTCGTGAATGTCACAGGGAAGATATGTCAATACCAGGGAGGCTTAAGCTTTTGCCACTCAGGACCCCTTTTTTACCCAAGAATTAAAAAAAAATTATCAAAGCACCATCGATTTACAAAGTGCGTCAAAGCTGAGTTTTTGACATACAATGTTGTAGCACTGATACCACAACCAGTGTTAATTTCTCTCCCCCAGTGCTCCCAGGCTCCCCCCAAGCTTGCCATCTTGACAGGCACTTTTCTAAGTTTGGTTGTTAAAGTTTGCTGTCTCTTGACTTCAGTGTTGTTGACTCTGTGGTTTGGAGATTTGTCTTTAGCATTCCTTAATGCCACCTTTGTTACTTAATCCTCTGACCTGGCTGATCATTGCTTCTCATCTGTCTCTTCTTCCCTTCCCCTCCACTCTTTCCTTCTCTTCCCTATACTCTTCACCCAGGAAATTCTTCCATGACCCAGTGTGTGGGGATGTAAACCAGGTACAGGGATCAAACATTATTGAAAATAAATCATAGGGAAATTTCTTTCTTCTAAAATTGGGGGGTGTTGACCCTTAGGCTCTCCCTGTACTGGAAAGAGTGTCTTTGCTCCGTTCTATATTCCTAAAATGAATACCTCACTTCAACCACT